GCTCGGGCGGCTCGGGCGGCTCGGCTCCTCAGCGGCTCAAGCGGCTCGGGCGGCTCGGGCGGGTCGGGCAGCTCGGGCGGCTCGGGCAGCTCGGGCGGCTTGGGCGGTGTAGGGCGGTAGGGCCGCTGGTAGGGCGGCGGGGCCGCAAGGTAGGTGGCGGGGCCGCAGTGGGAGGGGCGGTGAGGCCGCAGTGAAGGGCGGCGGGGCCGCCGTGAAGGGCGGCGGGGCCGCTGAGAAGGGCGGCGGGGCCGTAGTGAGAGAGGCGGCGGGGCCGCAGAGAAGGGCGGCGGGGCCGTTGAGAAGGGCGGTGGGGCCGCAGCGAGAGAGGCGGCGGGGCCGCAACGAAGGGCGGTGGGGCCGCTGAGACGGGCGGCGGGGCCGCAACGAAGGGCGGCGGGGCCTCAGTGTGAGGCGGCGGGGCCGCAGCGAAGGGTGGCGGGGCCGCAGCGAAGGGCGGCGGGGCCGCAATGTGAGGCGGCGGGGCCGCAATGTGAGGCGGCGGGGCCGTAGCGAAGGCGGCGGGGCCGCAGCGAGAGAGGCGGCGGGGCCGCAGCAAAGGGTGGCGGGGCCGCTGAGACGGGCGGCGGGGCCGCAGTGAAGGGCGGCGGGGCCGCAGTGTGAGGCGGCGGGGCTGCAGCAAAGGGCGGCGGGGCCGCTGAGACGGGCGGCAGGGCCGCAGTGAAGACCGGCGTGGCCGCAGTGAAGGGCTGCGGGGCCGCAGCGAAGGGCGGCGGAGCCGCAGCGAAGGGCCGCTAGGGCGGCTCGACGAAGTGAGGGCCCGGAGCGCCACTCGGGCTGAGCGCGCTTCGGGCAGGAAAAATAAACTCAATGTGGTGGGCCCTAAGCACAGTTCCCAAGGGGGAACCTGCTCGATACCATGAGAAGATTAGAACGAGAATGAATGACTATGGAATGAAAGTGATACAAATATGCAACCCTAGAAATGTGTACCCCATATGGGCTACCCCACTATAGCCTAGACAACATTATAATTTGACACAGGTGACCGCCCTTGCTGGAGTTGTGACACTTCCTCGTGTCCGTTGGGCCTCTTGCCGGTCTCTCGTACTCCACTGGGCTTGCGCTCCATGCCGGCCTCCGCCTATTCGCCGATCTCTCTCCCGTACGCTCCACCTCGATTAGTCGTCTGCCCATTTCCACCCTTTTTGCCGTCTCGTATGTGATCCTTAGCGTCGCAGCTGCCCCCATCTCGAAGATCTTCAACTGTTCGTCCCGTTGCAGCTCGTAGTTCAGGCCGTTTAGGAACTTGCTGACGAGACGTCATTGATCCACACAGTTCATGTCTCCCCCGAGCTCTACCACCCGCCCGTAATACGCCAGCAGGGACTCTCCCGTTCTCCGTTTGAAGTTTTGGAATTCGACGACTCGCTCTGGCGTTTGCAGTGGGAACTGATCCCGCAGCATCTGCAAGAATCGTTTCGTGGGATCTCGTTCCCTAGCCTTCCCTGCTCTGCCCAGTCCAATAGTTCTAGCCGGCAGATCTGATAATATGTCTCGGCTTCTCCCATCAGCATATTAGCTAGGCCTCTGAAGAACTCGTATGCCGCCAAACGATCACGCTCCCAACGCGCCCGCAGGTTCTCCAACTACATCAGATAATTTTTCCGGGATGGCCCGCGTCGTCTTTCTCCTGAGAATCGCTCTGGCACCTCCACCTTTGGGAGCATCGTGTAACGCCATCGCATCATCAAAACGGAAGAGGCAAAGCTAGTGACAGTGGTGGCATGAGCCGAGACAGACAACGGGGGCCCAGTCGGGTGAGTGACTAACGCGCACAAAACATGGGACATGACAGGACGGGAGGCACGGAGGTAGTCAGACAACGGGCCGTAAAATACAGTGACAGACGATTCTAGAGGCTGTGGAAGGGCCGGGGGAGGTGGAAAACGAGAGCGGAGGTCAAGGTGAAACGGGTCGCCTGCACGGTAACGGGACCGACGGGGCTCCGAAGATACAGTACGATTGAGGGGACCATGACGAGCCCACGGGGACGAGGAAAGGGACTGGACAGGGGGAAAAGGAGGAGACGGTATGGACCACGAACCAAGCGTGCAGGTGCTGGGTCGGGCAAGTCGCGTAGTTGCCACTGCGCCGCCTCCTCTAGCGTCTGTTGCGACAGCACCTGCCCTTGCAGCTGCTCGTGTGGCTCCTCCTCTGCCCTCTCCTGCTGTAGCTGCAGTAGCACCTGCTGTTGCGGCTAGGACTCCTGCTCTACCCTCTCCTGCTGCGGCCGTGACTCCTCATCTACTCTCACCTGCTGCGTCTACAACTGCACATGCTGCTGCTGCCAAGACTCCTGTGCTACCCTCTCCTGCTACTGCTGTGAATCCTCCTCTACTCTCTCCTGCTGTAGCTGTGGCTCATCCTCTACCCTCTCCTGACGCCGCGACTGAGACTGCTCCTACTGTTCCTGCTGCTATTGCTCTTGCTGCTGCTGCTACAGATGCTGCTTCTGCCGTGCCATCTCAAACTGCTCCCGCTCCTCCCTCTCCAACTGGAGAAGATGCTGCACACGGGTTGGGAAACGTATGGTGCGCGGTGTAGGCATCGCAGTGCCAGTGTCTCCGGCTCCAGCACCCCCATAACAAGAACCTCCAACAACGAAACCTCCGGTGTCTCCGGTAACTCCCACCCCCAGGCTCCGCAGCAACCGGCCGCAGAGATGAACAAGAAGGGAACTGGCGGACAGACGGGAAGCCAGAGGGTGAGGCGGGGCAAGGCCGCTGAGTCGAGTCATCCATGTCCTCCACTGAAGTGGTCTCCATTCTCACACCCCGTGCACCCCCAGAGCCGGCACCACCAGGTCCAGCAGCCCCAGTACCCCCATCCTCTGCAACTCCACCTCCCGCAACCCCAGACACCAGAGGGACTGTACGCTGCGGGGGAGCGGAGTGCAGAGTGACGTGCGACACACCTGATGGGGCAGGATGAGAAGGCGGGGTGGGGCCTACTAGGGTGACGGAGGGGGGGGGGGGGGGGGGAGGGTCAGGGGTGAGGAATAGCGGGGGTTGGGGGGAAAGGCCTCAGAACCTCGGTAGGTGTGACTCCTGAAGTGACAGACCGACTCGTCGAAAGTGACATCCTAAGAAGCGAAGAACTGGCGTGTGACCAGGTCAAAGAGTGCAAAGAGGACCCGGGCTGCTGGCTAGCCAGAGGCATCGAGTGGGAAGCCAAGAAAGACGCAGGCACGGGTGCATGCAGACAACTTGTTCATGCCAAGGGCGGAAACATGAGCCAGGGTATCCCAGACGTGGTAGTCAGCTCCTACAACCGGAGAACTTGTCCAAAGGGAGACCAACGTCATCCGTGGCCGTGCATCACTAGGCCACAGGTTCAGCTGGTGCGCGACATAGGGGACTGCTTGAGGCCACAGGAACTGGGGGGCACCGGCATGGCACATGGAGGTCCGAGCAACCTACATGACCAGGCCGATGCGTCTCTGGGCTAACCCATTCTGCTGCGGCGAGTCTGGTAGCGTGTAAGACTGGATGGTCCCCTGACCTTGACAAAACGTCTCCAAGCGAGTGGATAAAAACTCACCAACACGGTCTGAGTGCAAGCGGAGCCCACAAAGGCCTTGTGAGCCACCCCTTGTTAGTAGCCACTGCTCGAGGATGGTAGGCACGTCGGCTTTCCATCGCAAGGGTAAGATCGTGGTGTAGCGGGATTAGTCGTCCACCACAATCAGGAAGTAGCGAACCTGGCGAGGGCCAAGGACTGGGGACGGGCCCTTGACGTCCAAGAGTAGGATCTATAAGGGAGCCGTGGTGGGGGGGTTCAAGGAGGAGGGACGGGCAGTGCGCTGTGGACCCTTGACGCATGGGGTGCATGGCGGTGCAAGCGAGCAAGAAGCGGGGCGAGTGACTCTGGGAGACCTGAGACCAGACGGTGACGCACCATCCTACTAAGACACGTGAAAGACAGGTGACCTAGACGATGTTGCGAGAGGACCGACGGGTGGGTGAGTGACCGATAGTTGCACGACACGGCAGTTACCTGACCTAACCTGAGCTGACCTAGTGTGGTGTGACCTAGTGTGTAGAGAGTACAGACGAGATCCTAGCTCCCTGTGAATAGTGGCCAAAGGTGCAACAGTGGCACCGACTGTGCAGGAGGCAACAAGCTCATCCAGAGAGAAAGTAGTGACTATACCGAGGTCGTGGAGGTGACTGACACCCACCAGGTTCCTAAAGAACAAGAGGGTGTAGCAACCTACGAGAAACCCGGGGGGGAGGCGCCGAACATGGGAGAGTGGTGGTGTTGTGGGCAACGACAGGTCCCACTAAGGGTCAGCCAAGGTGATAGTGACTGGAATGCGAAGTGGCATGAGGTCGGTGCAGTCGCGAAAGAAACAGCTGAACGGCCCAGAGTCTAGGGTGAAGGAAAGTTGTGCTGTCGGTAAGGTTGCTCCCGAGCCAGCGACAAAGGCTGGTACTAGAGGAGTGTTAGCTGCAGAGGCGCCTAGATTAGAAACTATGCACGCAATAATACTAGAAACACAAGGCCCGACTAGGTAGGTGCAACGCAAGGATACTAGAAACACAAGGCCTGACTGGGTAGGTGGTCGAACAGAATTCTGCGTGAAGGCCACTGCGGTGGAATAGCATTAGAACCAAAACACTCACGGTGGAGGTCGTCGAGACGACGGTAGCAGCGGGACGCAGAGTGGTCAGGACTCCAACATGGAGTGCCAGCACTAGGGCCATTCACGATCTGGTCCCCACAGGGACTGACGTCTCGCCCACTATTAGCTAAGCCACTGCTAGGGCCGCCACTCCTTGGACCCTCAGCGGCTGGCCCTGCTGCTGTACAACTTTAGTAGACGCAATGTGTCGAGCTAGGAAAGGGGTACTGATAATTGGTACGGGTACGGGCCGCGGGGCCTTCTAGCTGGGGGGGGGGGGGCACGAGTACGGGTACGAGTATGGTCTAGTGCGCAGTGCAGTTGAGCGCGGTTGTGTGCGGTTGGAAGCAATCCGATGCGGTACAGGGCGGTCCAGTGGGAGGTAGAAAAGTGGGGAGCGGTTCTGGCAAGTCTTGAGCGGTGGGGAGCGGTGGGAAGCGGTCAAGAGTGGGCGGGTGGGGCAGCGGGTTACGGGTGGGGCGACGAGGTACAGGTGGGGCAGCGGGTTACAGATGGGGCAGCGGGTGGGGCAACGGGTGGGGCGGCGGGTGGGGCGGCGGGTGGGGCGGTGGGTGGGGCTGCGGGTGGGGCTGAAGCCAGGTGACAGGTGGGGCAGCGGGCTAGAGGTCGGGCAGCGGGTTACAGGTGGGGTGGCTTGTGGAGCAGCAGGTTTCAAGTCGTGGGGCGGCGGGTTTCAGGTGGGGTGGCAGGTAAGGCAGCGGGGGTTAATGGGTGGGGGCAGTGGTTAAGGTAGCGGGCATCGAGTGGGACAGCGGGTGAGGGGACGGGCGACAGGTGGGGCAGCGGTTGAGGCGGCAGGTAATGCGACTGGCTGCTGCCGCACGTCCGTGCGGCTTACGTGCACACGGCAGCGCATGCGGCTACGGCTGTGCGTGCAGCGTGTGCGTGCGACTGCGCGTGCGCGTGCGGCTGTACGTTAGCGGGCTAGCGGGGTTACGACTGGGCGTTAGCGGGCAAGGCGCGACGGGAAAACAGGTGGGGCGTGGGCTGACGGGGCTACGGAGCACTACGGAGGGAGGGGACGAGGTGCTACGGGGCTGAAATGGGCAGGGCACGACGGGGAAACGGGTGGGGTGCGGGCTGACGAGTGTTACAGTGGGGGTTGAAAGGGGGAGGACGAGGCGCTACAAGGCTAAAACGAGCAGGGCGCAACGGGAAAACAGGTGGGGCGCGGGCTGACGGGGTTACGGAGCGCTACGAGGGGGACGAGGCACTACGGGGTGCTTGGTGGCTAGCGGGCTAGGTCAGGACCTGGGACGGTGGGCCCACTGGATCGAAGTTTTGCTATATACCATGTCAAAGAAATAATTGCTGAATGAATGATTAGAAATGACAGTGACAAGCAAAATATAGCAAAGCCTAGCCAACCCTAGCCAACCCTTAACATAAGTGAACACCACCTACACTAGCAAATACAAAGCATACCAATTATAGTTTGACAGCTAAGGGTTCCAAGACTGCCTTAGCGTAGGTGCGAGGGGTCGGGATGTCAAGAGCATTTGGATCACCCTAAGGGGCTAGCAGCATGTCACAGAGACAAGGAGCAACGGCCACAAGGAAAGCCAGCTCGTAGTGCATGTCCTCTAGGATGTCACTACCAAGGACATGAGCATCCTCGACGGACGGGGGACAAGCAGGAGCAGAGACCAACTGAGTGACGTGTCAAGGCGGCGGGTGGAGGCAAAGTTAGCAACATCAAGGTCAAAACCAGAGACGGACGGAGGAGGAGCAGTGGGGTCGATTACGAGTAAGAAAAGGACACGGAAGACCATAGGGCGAGCAACACAGAGAAAGTCTGAGGATAGAGGAGAGGAGACATGAAGGGACAACAGAGGAGCCAATGGGAGAACAGAGGGTGGTGGAACACGAGAGGGACAAGAACCGAGGAGAATAGAGTAACTATCGGCAAGGAGAAAATAGAGTGGATACGAGCACGAGAGGGACAACATACCTAGTGGTGGGAGGCACAAGACGGGTCAGGAGTCAGCAAAGGAGACAACTATGAATGAGGAGGAAGACGAGCAGGAAACGTGAGACTGTAGACTGAGAGACGGTGAGAGGGGAGTAGGTGGTCGGTATGTCTAGTGTTATAGTCACAGTAGGCTCCAATGTGCCTAAAACGAAAGATAGAGTGCACAGTCGGATTTCTGCACAGCGGCTTCAAACGTTCATAGCGTTCTGGTCACAGCTTCAAATGACTTGATTCAACTTGGATCTGGAGCGTCTTATTGTCTCCTACACTAGGCAATTTATATCGCACAATTTAACCAAGTATTGACGACATAGCGTTGGTTTGAACGAATGGCACTATGGCAGCCACTATAGTCTTAGAACACAAGATAGGAAGAGTTAGGGAGAGTTACGAGTTGGGAATGACTCCCAGCTCCTAAAAACCCCAAGAGCCGAGGTAAAGTGATGTGGAACAGTGCCACACTGTCCCCAACCATGAAGGGTCTCGAAACTACCCTTCACTAGGGCCTACACCAAGTGAAATGTTATACTACACAAAGTAATGTAACTATCTTCAATATCTTGGGGTGTACCCCTTTTTCGCGGGCTTCGCGATTACTTGAATGTTGACACCAGGGCTCGGGTTCTTCATCACAAACTCATCCTTGAGTTCTTGATGGGTCTGCTGCACACACCTGCGACACGCTGAGCATTCGACAAGCGACAAAATAGAAACCGCGCACGACAAAATAGAAACCACGCGGGACACACAAAACGACCACGTTACACGCGACTAGCGATAATTCGCTATTGACTTGACACACACACTTGACAGCATGACCCATCATTCACACACTATTATAAGCATGAAATATATATTTATTTCATGCACTCATTCCATTCCATGCACACACGCATGCACGCACACGGACAACAAGCTGAGTGCAAACCGTAGGTTTGCACCAACATCTAGGAGTAAGAAAGAGCAAGAATAAGATGCGCAAACATAGGCGGCAACGGCGGCTGCTGCGGTGGCTGCTGTTGCGGCAACAGATGTTGCAACTGCTGTAGCGCCGAACGTCTTGCGACAATGGTAGAGACTGCGGCGTGGCTGCGAGGAGAAAGGTGGGAGGGGGGGGGGGGGGGGGGGGGGGGGGGGGGGGGGGGGGGGGGGGGGGGGGGGGGAGGGGGGAGTGGGGGGAGGGTGGGGGGTGGGGGGGGGTGGGGTAGAGGTGACAGGTGGAGGCGGCAAAGGGGCTGACAAAGGAGGTGCACCCCCATGTACTAGGCCTCAAGAGTAGCAAACTCTTCCACATGCCCAACCGAGGGAAGAGGGGTGACACAAAAAAACAACCAAACGGGGCAGGACGCGGGGGCAAGGGAGCTAATGGAGGAGTGGGGCCAGGGATCCGAGTGCGGGTGAGAAAGAGGAGAGGGGGGGGAACCAGGGTACCTCGGTGAGGGAAGCGAGTGTAGAAATAGGCGGACTTGTGAAAGGTGACATCACAAGAGTGGAAGAAAATGCGAGACAAAGGGTGGTAGAATAGCCAGTCGGGGGTGTCAAGAGGAAACTAAGGAACACACAGAGGAGAGTCTGGTCTGACAGCTTGTCCGCACGAAGGTCGCGAACGTGAGAAAGGCAGTCCCAGACACAAAACGCAGGTGCAGAACCATGGAACCCAGTCCAGAGGAGGGTCAGCAAAATCTGCGGTCGTAAAACACGAGGCCACATGTTAAGCTGGTGCGCAGCATAGCGGACTGCAAATGGCCAAAGAAAATGGGGGCACTGGCATGAATCATGGAGGTATGAGCGATCTCCAAGACTAAGCCAATGTGACGCTCAGCTACTCGATTCTGTTGGGGCGAGTCGGGAGTGAGTACGTCTGGGTGATGCCCTCCGCACGATAGGACATGCTAAGGTGACTTGAGTCGAACTCTTGATCATCCACAACGACCAAGAAGAAGCGCTCTTGGCGCAGTGCGGGGGGGGGGGCGCTACTTGCCCTTGAGGCAACGAGTGCACGGCGATGCGAACGAGGGAGAGACAGCAGAGAGCGGCGACGGGAGACCAGAGATAAGGCCGCGCCGAGCCATGTGACGAAGTTGGGGGAGGGCGAGGTGACCTAGACGGTGGTGCAAGAAGAGCAACGGGTGAGTGGGTGACCGACACGAGCACGGAGCAACTACTTGACCACATGCAAGAGCCTGGGTGAACGCAATGTGCAGCATGAAAAACCTTATGCAGGTTCCCGGGGGAACGTGGCAAGAGGTGCCCTAATTGTAGTGTTCGTACAGGTCACGGACCACTTGTATCCAGGAAACGTGGTGCTTACACCAAGGTCCTGAAGTCGATCGACACCCACCAAGTTCATGGAGAATGAGGGGATGTGCAGACCTGTGAGGGAGCCATAGGGGACTGCCGGACACGGGAATGAGTAGGGCTGCGTGCGACGACCGGACTAGATGAAAGGCCGACCAGGAAGATTGCCACGGGAGTTGCTGAAGAAGCAGTGAAACGGGCCAGAGTCCAGTATGAAGGAGATGGACGCGTTGACAATGGACGCACATGAGCAAGAAGCGCGGTAGGGGTGGGTGCAGCAGGCACAGGGGCGAGTGCAACGGACGCAGGTGCAGCGGTGACAGGCGCGACAGGGCGTGCGATAGGGCATGCGATATGGCGTACAGAAAGTGTTAGAATATATATTATATATGTTTAACTGCTTGTAGCCATAGCACCCCGTTGCGCCCCCGGTTGCACGCCCGTTGATGGATATGTCGCAACGACGAGCTGCGCGATGGCGTCCTTCGCAGCCCCTAGCATGGCCCTTCTTGTGACCCTTATCCCCACCGTCGTCGCCCTTGTCACAGCTCCTATCACACCTGTAGCAAACCCCCCCACACCGCGCGCGGTCTAGGGCGCGACGGGGCGCAACGGTAGGGCACGAGAGGGTGCTAGAGGGGGCCGCTAGAGGTGGGGGAGTTAGGAGGGGGAGGGGGGGGCGAGAGGGGAAGAGGGGGTGGTGCTAGAGAGGAGTTGTGAGGGCACAAGGGGTAACTTTTAGGCAGGGCGGAAGCATGTGACCTAACCTAAGCGCGTGAGAATGATGAATGGGGCGTACCGAGCGGGAACATCTAGCAAACCCATACCCTCTATATTCCAACCCACCTACCCTAAACAATTCTCATGCAAATGCGTACGGTATATCAACGAGGTAACGGAATAATGATATAGTAGAAACAAACAGTACAAGGGAGCACATAGCAAACCCTAAGGGGGTTATACCCTCTACAAAATAACTCAGTGTAACATCTGGACAAAATTAACAAACTATAACAATTATACTTTGACACACCCCCATAGTCTAGGTGATGGTAGTACAGTGGAAAGCAACACACAACCTAAGAGCAAGGGTCACAGGACCAATCAGTAAGAACAAGCAACGGTCACAAGACTAGTTCACGAGAACAAAGCAACTTTCGAGGTGGATCTCAAGATCACCACATAGTCCGAGAACAAGCAAGGGGCCACAAGGCCAGTCCACGTGCAATGATAGAGCATACATAAGAGATGCAAGAATACAAGACATGCATGACAAGCATCTCTACAGAAGCAAGGGGCCATAGGGCCTGTCCTTAAGCACGGAGATAGGATATATAGTGAGATGCAATAGTACAAGAAAAGGCATCTCTACGCAAGCAAGTGAGGGCTTGTAGACACAAGACCAAGCTGGGTGCAGGAATGCTAGAGGTCACAAGGCAGCAACGCCTTTGTGAAGATATATGCAGTGTTGCCTCAGAGACCACACGTTGCACGAATGCCTGGCCACGCTGCTACAACTCTCGCAAAAGGAAGCAACGAACTGGATGTGCTTCGTCTTCCCAACCAGTCCGGGCTCCTCGCACAATAGGATAGCAGACATGTTGTTGGCGAACAAGACTGGGGGAGAGCGAGGCTGCTCACCAAGGTCAGTGAGAAGGAAAGACAGCCAGCGAAGCTCCTGGGCGGCCATGGCCGCAACGTACACCTCTGCCTCACAGCTGGAACTAGAGACGTGCGACGCCCGAGTCGTCCTCCACGAAACAGCTCCGGT